AATGAGGTGTATATATATAAAAAATGATCGTTTGAAGGACAAGGTCACTCAGCAGTGTGTTTAGTACAAATGCCAAAATGCTTTTTGAGAACATTCAGAGTAAAGTCACTTCAAATTACGATCTTTGTCTTTTGACAGCGATTATATTTGTCATATGCAGACTCTAATAAATCATCAAAGGTAGCGGGTGAATGGCAGTAATAAAACACGTTTGTCAGACCTGGGTAGATGAGTTTCTACGAAGGCTGCTGTCTATAATGCTGACACGGAGCGGTTCCTTTAGTTTCTGGATCTCTGCCTCCTTTGCAGCCAGCTCTGCCTGCAGTGCCTCGGTCCTGCTGTCCTCAGTGACCTCCTGAGACAGGGACAAAATGTTAAAACAACACTTCATGTAGGGTAAAATTGATGAAGGAATGAACTGTATAACAACACAGCAAACATTCAGGTGGTAATACAGCTATTTAATGTGCATGGTTTAAAAATAATGTATATTTGCAGAAGCAAGACTATTGTTGACAATAGGAATCTGTGTGTATACATGACACATACATGTCTTATAGTCACATAGGCTACATTACTAGATCTCCATAATTATAATATATTTTTCGGCTGGACAGTGGTCCCAGTCAGCTTTAGTTCAGCTAAAAACAATTTCTGAATTGCATTTCATTTTTATTAGATTTGCTTGGCTTCAAAAGAGCTGTATGGCTGTTTGAAGGTCTGCTAATTTGACACTAATGCAGTAAACAATTCAGGACTAAATTAACCCTTAGAATGTCTGTCAACCATTCAGAATCAAGTATTCAGTGCCACTGAACAATGACGACACTGCTATCACACTTTCCAAAATGCACCTGTACTGCCACTGAGTGAATTACCGCAAGAATTATTGAATAACATCTAAATTAAGAATGCTTTTTTATCTCAAATAATTTTACACATTTAAAAATACACGCTGAACAGATATATGAAAGTTGTATTATTACAATGTACATGACATTAAAATAAAATATTTCCATAAAAATGTGTATATTACGATAAATATTATCATCAACCAAAATTTGTAAGAACATAGTGACATTTTTTGCTTATTGCCTACCCCGTGCAATGATTGGCTGATGCATCTACTGGATTCAGTTAGGTTTGAAATCTGATTACTGGAAACTGTGATACTTTTTTTCAGGATGCTTTGATAAATAGAAAGTTCAAAAGAAATCAAACGTAGCGTTAGTTCTGGCAGGTCACGTTAGTCAAGCTCGCATCAGCTGACCTTCAGCTGATCCCCATCTACCTATGGGAATACGACACTTATCTAAGCATTCATATATAAGGTCCCTCAGTATTATCAGCAGTTTTCGCATTGCTCAATAGCTAATTACCCTCCTCCATCCCCAACTCCTCCTCTGTCAGTCGGGATTCAGCCTTCTGATTCTCCTTGAATCAGACTAATTCTAAAATGTGTACATAAAATGATTGAACTTTAACAATATCTGCAATACATTTATGTAGTTCTGTTCTGTTTACCCTGGGGGTTATTGCTGCTCTCCCTGCTCTCATCCATGCTAGGCTGCAGGGAGGCGCAGGGAGTTCTTGCCCAGAACAGAACCATACCGCCAATCCAAACTGTATGCTAATTGTCAATCATCTTTGACGATAGTGGTTCTGACAGAACAGCATTTATTTGACAATTTTTAAATGGCTTTACTGTCACTTGATCAATTCAAATTTTATTTTCTAGTAGGTAGTGTAGCATGAATAGAAAGCGAGTTTGTAACAGACACTAATAATTTTAATTTTTGAAATTATTATTAATTCATTAAATTAACAGACACTAGACTGACCTCTGGTGTTTGGGGGGTGTTTCTGGACTGTAGGATCTTGATCTGTTGGTCTTTCTCTGCATTGGACATGATAAGCTTTTTCAGCTGAACCTCCAGAGCAGAGACGAGTGTGTCTCTCTCTTTTCTCCAGCTTTCCATCTCTTCCTCACGAGCAGCAAGACGTGCGGCAAGAGACTCCTAATTGACACAAATCAACAGTCATTCTCTCTTTAACTAAAAATATATTTAGTGTCTGAACACACACTGCCATTTACCATTTCGGCCTGTTGGCGAGCATGCCGTTCTCGATCATCAGCGTATCGCCTCATGTCCTGGTTCCTTCTCTCCTCAGCCTCTTTAGCCTGACCAATCAGAACCAACTTATCCTCCATCCACTTCTTGCGCTCTGCCTGGTGCTTTTCATTGGCCAGCTACAAACATGAACCCCAAAGAACCAAACAAAGACAATGAGCATGCATTTCTTATACAGTTGAAGAGAAATAGATAATACATTTGGCCAACAGACCTTTAAGCTCTCCTGGGCCTGAGTGGTCTGTTGTCTGGCCTGTAAAACGTCATCAGAGATTGATCTGGAATCTCTCCTGTTCTTCTGTTCAGGTTGCAATTCTCTCAACCTCATCAATTCTGGAAATAAATACGGTGAGGTAATAAATAACAAATATAAAGATTTTGAATTTTAATGGTTTTAAAACAACAAAAAAATGTTGATGTAACAATAAGAAACATGTAAAATTCTGTACTTATATTATGTCACTAAGAAATAAGTACATATGTGACTATAATCATATGAACTCCCTTTAAAGAACAAGATGATCTTTTAAATCCCCTCAAATCATGCTGGAGAACATAAAGTGAATAAAGCAAAATGGGGAGATACCAAATGTCGGTTTTTCTATTAAACTTAAACTTGTTACATACCGTATTTTGTATTTATTTTTTCAATTTATGTTATGTTAGACAGCAACACCCTGCAATACTTTCTTACTATTAAATGCTATACAGTACATTAAAGTATTATGAATGCAATATTCTCCATGTGATCTTGTACCCTGAGTGAGCTCATTTATCTGAGCCTCTCTGTTGTCCAGCTCCAGGTCCAGCTCTGTCTGCGTTTCCTCCTGTTCTGTCAGAGCCAAACGCATGTCTTCAATAACACGCTCGCGCTCCTGCAAATCTACGGAAACCATTAACAAACATTAACATGCTTTACTGTTTATTGCCACACATTTAATTAAACACTTGACAATAAATAACACCCATTACGGCACACACTTGTGCAGACGCAGGCAATTAAACAACATATAGCCTACCTTTACATGCTTTCTGATAGAGCAGCAGATTCTCATCTGACTTCGATTCAGAAGATCGTTCCTGTTTTAGAACAAAGAGAAAATAATTAGTTCACATGACAGTGTCAATTAATGTTTCTCTCTTTGTGGTTTTAGCTCTTCATCGCTAGGCGGTGCTTACAGCTTTCAGCTGGTTGATGGCGCGGTCCCTGTTGGCGATCTCATTCTGGAGCTGTGCTTTAGTCTTTTCTAGATCACTGAGCTTCATTCGTAGAGATTTCTCAGCATCCCGCGTGGAGGAGATCTAAGTCATAAGGAGTTTTAGCACAAGTCAACATCAGTCAGATTCAATATAAACTCGGACACATTTTGGCCCAGATGGTAAAGATGTTTGAAACAGAGTGAGTTCTCACCTCTTTCCGGACCTGCTGAATCTGTTTCTTTGAGTCACAGAGTTTTTCCCGAAGATCAGATGAATCATCTTCCCTTCTGCGCAGATCAACAGCCATATTGTTCAATTTACACTCACTAGTTTTAATCTCCTCCTTTAACCTGAGTGATGAAAAATCAAATGCACATAGAATGAATACCAAAAAAGAAACAATAAATCTGAGGCAAAGGTATTGATAAATGGTGTTTGATTAATTGGGCAGTATTTGGGCTAATGTGAGATTATCTGCATCATTAAACCATGTCTGCTTGGTCAATTAAGAGAAGTGTTTATCTTTACCTTTTGTCAGTTCCAAATTGATATTTTTTCAGTGATGTTTGAGTACATGTTGTATAAAATGAGTTTTCTTTTCACTTCAGCAAATATGCATTTCATTTGCTATTACTGGATTGTGGGTATATATTTTGGCATTCTATCCTGCTCTCTAAATATTGGCATGAAGCAATGAAAAATCCATGTTGGTCAACCACTAGCAAAAAGCCTTAAAGACATGACCATTATTCTGACAAAATGCACTACACACAATCTCAATTAAAATATACTTGCCTTTTAGTGCTTATTCAGTAAGAAGTGACAATAAAAAGCCTTCCAGGCTGCTAAAATAAATCAATGTCCTTCTGTGTGGGATAATTATTAATCCATCAAAAGCAGCAATCTTGTGCAATATCTTTGACAAATAAAGCAAGACAATTCCTTTCAGGGAATAAGTAATACAATTTCACGAGCTGTTTGATGCTTTCATGAAAATCATCAATGCTTATAGAAAAGCTGCTAATACTCCAGTTCACACCAAGTCAGTTTCAAAGACCAAAAACAAGCTTTGTTTTACAAAGAATCAACATTAAACAGCCATTCACTTCGAAAAAGTATCAAGTACAAGTGAATTGACTAAACACAAAATGATAATACATTATACATTTTTTCCATTTCACACACATTTTATATATTACCGTTCTAAACCGTTGTGTTACCGTTGTGTAATAATATTACAAAAAAAAAAAAAAAAGTATATTTTAATATATTTGAAAATGTATTTGAATTTATTCCTGTGATAGCAAAGTTGAATTTTCAGCAGCCATTACTCCAGTCTTCAGTGTCACATGACCCTTCAGAAATCAAGGGTCAAACCCCTCAAGAAACATGTACTATTATTAATGTTGAAAACAGTTGCTTAATGTTTTTGTGGAAATAATGAATGTGCTCGACGTGTGTGACACCAACGCTGCAAAAATAAACTGAACTGATTTTGTATGGTGGTTTAATGCAACTTGTGTTTTAGGAAACTGTAATGTAACTGAGGAGGAACATAACTGACCGGTTGATCTCTTCTTGTCTCTTCTGTAGCTCTGCATCTTTCTGAGCGATGGCCTCCTCTGCCACAGCCAGCAGCTCTCTCCTTCTCTCCGCCTCCCTCCTGCACGCCTCCTGCACAGCTTGCGTCTCCTCCTCCTCCAGAAGCTCCTGCGCTTCCTTCAGCTTCTTCTGCAGCACTAAGAGCTGAGCCTCCTTTGACACTAGGGCATTCTCCCTCTGTGCCAGCTCAGCTTCCTTTTCAGACATTGTGATGTTTATTTTGCTATGGGTCTCCCTGTTTTTAGATCCAAGAGTGTTAGGGTTTGTCAGCCCAACCTCCCTGTCTTCAAGTCCCTCCTCTTTAGACAGATGTGCTGTGTTTCGCTCTTCCTTCTCGTTCTCAAGGCATCTGGCCTTCTCTAGTTCAGCTTTGACCCCACGAAGGGTTGTCACCTCAGCCTGCAGGTCAGAGTTGACTTTTTTGAGGTCATCATAGTCAGGTAATATGTTTCTGGAGGTTTCTGCTTCCCGTTGCAGTAGTGTAATTTCCTGTTCAAGAGTCAAGATGTGTTTGTTCTTCTCTCCCAGTTCGTGATCTTGCTTAGCCATTTGTGATTTGGCAGCAGCCAGTTCTTGAGAAGAACCTTTTAAATGTTCTGTAGTGTTGCTATAATTGGACACAACTTCTACCTTCAAATTGCTGCAATCCACTGCCGTTACCACTGATTTAGTTTCTAAGGATGTCTGATGTACCTTGTCTTGCAGAAAATGTTCCTGTGAAACTCTTTCTTCCAGTTTAGACTTCAGATCCTGAATGCAAACCTTTAACGTGTGGCACTCCTTCTCCAGATCTGTGATCTGCTTGTCTTTTTGTTTGGATTCAGCAAGGCAGCACTCCAGCTGACCTTTGACCTCAAGAAGGGCGGAGTCTTGACATCCATTATCTGGAACACCATCTTGGACTTTTGAGTCCTCCAGGGAACCTATAAAGAATGGATCATTTTAGAAACGCTTAACAGATATAGATATATATAAATATTTTTATATTGATGATCTGTCGGTGTGACATGCAATAACACAATATTTATGTGTTTGTTTAATATACATTTTTTTCATTTAAAAATTGCTTCAACATTTAAATTAGTTTGGTACAACCAGGCATTTCTAATTTATTGCTACTGGCCTGGCAACAAAGGAAGTAATTAATTTAATCTAAAATGCACTAGTCTTTACTCGCACATTTGGGCATAAAATTAATTTTCAATTTGATTTCATTCTGAAGATGAAAGAGGGGCATTTAACTGTGGAATCACTCAGCCTGAAAGCCTCCTATTCATACTCGGGAGTCAGGAAGCACCTCATGTGGGTGTGGGCTGCTTTAATACTATAATAACATTTCTGTTACTCTTTCTTTTTGATTTAAAAGTCAAGCATCCTTTTTTTATTGGTATTTCCACCCTTTTATAACTTATAGTGCTTTTAATTGTGGGCAGTGTTCTCCATGTGTAAAATAAATATACTTCTTTATTCAGTTGAGTTCATAAAAACAGTACACTTCACAGAAGTACTTTGAGATGCAGGTGTTATGCACTGTGGTAACTTTTTCTAAAACATATTTATAATGATCATTTCTTTATGTTCGAGAGCCTTTTTCGACCGTGAAGGTATCGTCGTCCTTTGATCCGATTCTCTCTGCCAGCTCCTCTGGTTGTGACAAAAGCTGGGCGGCACTTTTCAGCACCTGGGGCGGAGTCTGTACCTTTCTTGAGAGGGGGCTGTCCATCAAGCCCCTCCCTTTCCTGACGCCGCTTTCTGGTTTCAGTCCAGGTGTCAGGTCGCTGCTCTGAGCAGGTACAATTGCATTTAAGCTGGATGATCTCCTTTTTGATGGAGTCAATTTGAGTCCTCTGGAAATCCAAACAAAAAGAAAAAATAAACACGGTAAATAAAAACATTGTGTAACTGTAAAGGAACTGTTCACCCAAAATGATAATTCTGTCATGTTATTTGTTTTGTGGAAAAATAATTGATGAATTTGAACACAGATCTTTTCTACACAAGAGTTCATAGTGACAATGAGCAAGCTCCAAATAGAAGAAGAAAAAAAAAAGATGACTTGATAATGACAGGCAAATATTCTTTTCCATAACCAGTTAAAATACTGTTACACTATTGTTCAAAAGTTTGGGGTCAGAATTTTGTTTTAAATTCATTCATACATTTATTGACTGTTATGCATTTATCGTTTCTATTCAACAAAGACTGCATCACAGTTTCCACAAAAATATGAAGCATCACAACTGTGCGGAAACTCTTTAGCACCGAATCAGCATATTGGAATGATTTCTGAAGGATCATGTGACACTAAAGACAAATTATTATATTAAACGATTATATTAAATTGTAGTAATGTTTTACAATATTACTGTTTTTACTGAATCGTTGATCAAATAAATGCAGCCTTAAACATAAAAAAAAATAAATAAAATCAATCTAACAGAGACCATCCAATTATTATGGACATTTGAAATGAAATCTCTAGATGTTCACACTCACATCCTGAGCCGTGTTTTCTACATGTTGGTCAAGAGCTGTTTGGAGTTTGGAAACCATCTCATCCTTTTGTCTGCACATTTCACTCAGCTCCCATTCCCTTTGCTTGTGGCTCTCCAGAGCCTATAGTCAGAAGAACAAGCCACAACTTCAACTACATTTTTACGGTTTCTGAAGGAAAAAAAAAAAAAAAGTGGCTCTTGCCTATGCAGAAATGCTGTGAGTCTGGTCCTCATACTATATGTTAAAATGGCAGAAGCCTTTTACAGTGGCTGTTTTACCTTCTTCACCTCCTCCAGTTCATCTGACAGTCTGCTCTGGGTTTCCAGCTCTGTGAGGGAGTATGGGGCTTGGTGTTAGATCAAGCGATTAGGAAGCTTGGTAAGGTGGAGTGTGAACACTAAGCAAGTGTATGTGGTTATATTCCTACTGCAAAAGGATCTGTCTCATAATACAGGGTTCCCACACTTTCTAGCCAATGAATTTCCATGACTTTTCCATGGAAATGTTTTGGTCTCACAAAAAGCAATTTCTTGCTGAAGAAATACTAAAAAAAAAAACGTAAAGAAAAAAAATAGAGATACTAGAAAATTACTCATTTAAAAAATCCATGACCTTTTAAGACTTAGGGGGGGACAAATTATATATAAAAAAATATATATATTAAAATTTTCCAGAATAGTGGGAACCCTAACAGAAAAAAAAACAAAAACATTTAACACGGAAGGTAGAGGGGATGCACAAAACATTTCTGTGAAAGGGGAGATTTGTTTTGGGTCTGCTTATCTGCAATCGTTTCTCACCCAGTGTTTTGAGTGACAGCTGATTCTGAGTTTCACTGAGCAGTTCTGAAAGTTCAGTGACCTTTTTCTCAAGGTCTAGCAGTGTCACGGAGACGTTAGGGTCAGAGGACACCAAGCAGGACTGGGCAACCTGGGCATCCTGTTTGATTCCAGCCAGGTCACTGCTCATAGAGTCAAGAATGCTGTCTACATTGACATGGTTCTCTTCCTACACACATCACACACACACACACACACACACACACACACACACACACACACACACACACACACACACACACAA